AAAAAGCCAAACGCCGCCACAACAACTGCTTCTTCCAAGCTTCAAGGTCTCAGACTGACTCGCCGGCTGACTCAGCCATGGAAGCCGATTCATCTTCCTTCAAGGTACGTGACTCACTCTTCGTCTTCAACTGAGTTTCTTATTTTTCCATTGCTCAGCTCGAAGTTTTGAACTAAAAGCTAGGGTTTCGATTCGATGCATTTCTGTTGAGACGAATTCAAACACGAAACGTCGTCGTTCCCCTTGTGGTTAGTTGCAGTACAAATTGAAGCTTTAAAAATGGTTGAAAAATGTTAGGACGAGGTTGTAGTTCTGGATATTAGGGCTCTGTTTGGTTGCAGCTGCTTCTGCCAAACAGAGAATTTGTGTTGTTTTTAGTCTAATGTGGAACATTGTACTCGTTTTCCTCTGAAACTATGCTGCTCCAGAAAGATGATGTTAATGGTTGATTTTGCAGATAATCTTGGGATCGGCTTCGATAGCACGTCGAAAAATATTGGCTGAAATGGGATATGAATTCACAGTCATGGTACTACCATTTGTTTCTCTGAAATATATAAAACCTAATTTCCCTGATGATTTTTAGAAATTAAACTCTTGTTTTACTGTAGACTGCCGACATTGACGAAAAATCCATCCGAACGGAAAAACCAGAGGAGTTGGTTTTGGTTCTTGCCAAGGCAAAGGTTTGGTGTTCTTCTCCTTTTCGTTGTTTTCCTATTGGAAATGTAACACTAAATGCTAATCAGCTAAATTTTGGAACTTGCTTCTTTTAGTTTAGGGTTGTTTTGGTTTTACGCACTCACATTTGTCAAATGTGAATTGTGTGTCAGGCCGATGCTATCGTATCAAAGTTGCAAAGTATCAATAATCAAGAAAAGGATGCTGAGACCACGATTGTGATTGCGGCAGACACAGTATGTCATTTCTTTATATATATTGTATGTGTTTGGTATCATCACTCTGTTTAACTACTGAAGCCATCAAAGTCTGGTATCACCTAGTGCCGTTTATGGAAGAGACATCCCCTTTTTCTTTTTATAGAGGAAGAATCGTGTTTTACAATTTTAGACTTCTGAGGCTCATTTTGGGATTTTGACTACGTAATTGTACAATAGTAGTTGAGAAGAAAAGTATTTAAAGAAAGATACTAATTAGTTGTGATGCTCAACTAAATTCAGCCTCGTAACTGTAGGTGTTTCTTTCTGCATGTGTATGAGTGTCTGAAATTGTGCGTGTTAGTGCACCCTTTGTTGCAGTTGTTTGTTTACTGCATAATGTAATGACATTGTCTCAACTAGTTTCTGGTTGAAATAGAATTGCTTACCTATCTGAGCTGATGGAAACTTCTCAGGCAGAAGCCATTTCACAAAGGCTCCCAGTTGGTGACTACATAAAGGATGCCGAACCAACGCTATTAATTACTTCTGATCAAGTATACATCACATCTTATACCATATTTATAGTCTCTATACTCTTGTCATATGTGTGTTGTGTGTTGTGGATAAAACACCAAAATGTGTATATGGAATTTTTACCATACTCCTATCGCTTCCTCAATATTCTGGAGAGGGTAAGGAAGAAAGTAATAAGTATAGGTTTAAGTAATGTTTTGATGTCAGTTATGTGAGATTCTATTGACTGAGAAACTTGTTCAGGAAAATAAATTATACGTAGGAGTTGCGTCATATTGCGATATTGTTAATCACAAAACTTCATTTTGGGCCCATGTTTACATATTACATGTTTTGATATCTTATGCATGAATGTGTGCTTTAGCTCTTTCTCCTCCTCATTCTTTATGGAGTATCTGATATAACTTATGTCGTAGATGCTCCAGACATCAGCTTTTTCCACACAATAACTTTTTTTACCCCCAAGGCCTTGTGTACGCTTGTTTGTCCTTCAACATAAATGGCCTATGGTGATATGACTTGTTTGCAACACTAGGAATTTAGAATTTTCCTTTTATGAGTCAGTGAACATTAAATCTGTTATTTCTTACTCTTATTGTAAAATGATCTGGAGGTGGTGGTCTATGAAGGTGTGATTCGGGAAAAACCATCCGGCAAGGAAGAAGCACGGCAATTTTTGAAAGGTTGGTTTAATGGTTATTTATTCCATGTCCCTGATGTTTTACTTTTTGACTCTGATAATTTTCCTAACATGAATTGCAGACTATTCTGGAGGGCATGCAGCAACAGTGGGATCTGTACATGTTACAAACCTTAAAACGGGATTCAGTAAAGGAGAATGGGATCGAGTGGAGGTACCTTTTGCTTTTTCTTGTTGTAGCTTCTGAAAGATGAAATTGAATAACTTCCCAGCTCTTTGGGGTTCCTTGCAGATTTATTTCCATAAAATACCAGATGAAGTCATTGAGAAGCTGGTAAGAGTTGTTTTGTATCAAATTTGGTTGTTTCACTTATTTCCTTGATTGGACAATGACAATTTAACCCCGTCCACTATGTCCATGTCAGATTGAGGAGGGGATAGTGCTCAAAGTAGCAGGGGGACTCATAATAGAACATCCTCTAATACTTCCTTTTGTTAAAGAAGTGGTTGGTTTTCTACCCTCTGTTCTAAAGTTGTAAGTATTACATTTGGTAAATGTGGGGCAAGAGAAGCATACTGGAGTATATTTACGGTACCATGTGTCTGTTTCAACAGTTTAATTGATTGCCTTTTCATCCACGATCTTTTATTGAATGGATCCTGAAAGCTCATCAATTCTGATCCACTTATTAGGTGTCTTTACCCAATAACTAGTCATGTTGATACGAACGTACTATTTTGTTGAGCAGTGTCTTGATAGTCATCCTCATATTTGAAATGCTGGTGCTTCTTGCAGGTAGGGACAACCGATAGTGTGATGGGACTTCCCATAGATCTCACAAGGAGACTACTGAAAGAGGCCGTCTAGCTGCAGCTGGAGATTTCCGCATTTTTATGTACCGGTACTTTATCTAATTGACTTTTCTTCTGTCGTTAAGCTTCTGATCTAGTATTGCTGAACTTTACAACTACCTGCTATTCGCATCTGTATCTGTTGTGAACTATATTTGCTGCTTGAATCAATTTGTTTTTGAAATGTTGTAGAGTAATGCCTTCATCGTTACATACACCCCATCTCGTTTTGTGTTGTTGGTCTCTGACATTTTATTGATTTAGAAGCAAACGCTGGCCGCGTAATATCTAAGGCCATGACTTCTCTCAGATGGTTTTGTTTATATTTCGACATAGTAGTAGCGAAGACCTGCACTTTCTAGACTTGCATACGCTTCTGCCTCGGTAGTACGACCGATGCGAGGGGGAGAGAGAGAGGTGCCCAGACCTTCTCCACACAGGGGACTGTGGTATGCTAAGCCTATCATGCAATGCCACATGAAATGCGTTTGCAGTGATACTGCCACAGTGACATCCAAGATAAATGTTTCTCTTCGTAAGGACCATTTACAAAGTCTCGATTTTCAATTCCCTTTACAATTTGCGGGCAGTAGGCATCACGACTGGCATCGAAAGATAAGAGGCCGGTGGATTCTTAAATTTTGGCTGCACAAGTCGTGTTGGACCTCTACATTCATTGAAAGATGGAGAGGTCCATATGAAGCCCCTCCTTTTCATACCTCGCTTAGGGGGTGGGCATTAAAACCGTGAAATTGAAAAATCGAACTGAATTGTAAGATGAAAAAAAATACGTAAAATTAAAAAACCAAACTGGATTTGACGTGAACGTAATTGTACGATTTTTGAAATAAAATAAGACGGGCCAAATAGAATCAAGCTGTTGATATATTCCGGTTCCAATTCTAGTTTAAGGGTGGTCCACTGGTCCGAATGAAAACTGGAAGTGCCCAGACCTACATACCAACCCAAATAAACAAATGTAATGAATTTTTCTTTTTTTGTACATGCAAAATGCAGTGTAATACATATATCAAAAACATATAGCTAAAACTAAAGGTTTTGCAAACATGTCGTGTTCGGTTTTGTCTACAAGTAGGAATGACTCATCACATGTAAACATCACAGTAAAAACACGTGATCGTGTAATTCGACTTCGATAACTCTAAATCAACCAGCAATAGAAGGTAACTGATCAATAAGACACCGACCCCAGTTGAAGTATTTATCTGTTTTGTTAGAGATTAGTTTTATTGTGTCGGCCTGTTGGCCGGCTTTAGGAAACAAGGAACTTTGTTGGCACTAGGATCATTAGCTTCGCCTAATGACGCAATTAATTTTCAATTTAAACACAAATTTTGGCAACGAATAGATGATGCTCATGTTTACCTAAAATAGTTCTAAAAAACGCAAAAAAAAAATAAAAAAATCAACCATATAATTTAATTAAATTCGAATAAAAATGTTTACGCGAACCAAAGTATAAAACAATTAACGTGCCTAATCCCTTGATTAAAAAAAAAAAACTCGCATACTCCCTCTCATCCTACAAATATCGCAGTTTTATTCAATTTAACTTTCATACATGACATTGTGTTATTTATTCAGATGACACTTCAGATGACACAATGACGTACTCGTATATACGGAAGTATCAATGACGTCTAAGAGCATATTCAAATGAGTTGTCAAAATCCTAAGTGGAATGACACTTTGTATATTTGACATCAAAAGTCTATCCAACCCAAATTTGACATCAATATCAATTTTATTTTTAATTTATTTTAATGGTGAGTCCCTTATTCAATTAACATTTCAACCAATAAAATTTTTGTTTCAACATTTTTTTTAAATAATTACAACCATTTAAAGCTCTATTTAAATAAGAAAATAACATTTGATAATTCAGCTGAAAAAGTACAAAATTTGACGTAAGACTTGAGATTGACACATCGACCATTAATTGTATTAAACAAGTTTATCCAAAGAAAAAGGTTTTGATAAAAAAAAAAAATATTGATTAGTCAAGGGGCGCCGTCCTTCGAGAACCAGCTATTCGTATATTATTCCCAGTTTTCCCACGTAACGGTTATTTAACCGTCAAAATCATTCACTCCCCCATTTCTCAACTCCCTCCTCATGATCTCATCTCCCACACCACCACACAAGACAAAACCCTCCCCACTCCCTATCGGAGCTCGGAAACCTCCTACTACTCCGCTCTCCGCCGTACCCCACCCCCACCGCCACCATTATTGTGTTAATTTCTCAAAACGCTCTCGCTCGGTCCTCTCCAAGAAAACAGAGAGCAACGACCTTTCTCACACCTACCCCGGAAGCGGAGACACCGGCCATGGACCCAGGCGGCGCAACCGATGTCGCCACCGCGCGGGGAGGAGGCGGTCAGGTCGGGGTCCAGATCCACCAAAACCGACGGCTTCCCGATTTCCTCCAGAGCGTTAATCTCAAGTACGTGAAATTAGGGTACCATTACTTGATCTCTAATCTCTTAACCCTCTGCTTCATCCCGTTGATTATCGTAACCCTAATCGAAGCCTCCCAAATGGACATTCACGACATTCAACAACTCTGGCTCCACCTCCAGTACAATCTCGTCTCCGTCATCATCTGCTCCGCCGTCCTCGTCTTCGGGTTGACCGTCTACATCATGACCCGACCCAGACCCGTTTACTTGGTCGACTACGCCTGCTACCGCCCGCCCGATCACCTCAAGGCCCCTTACCAGCGCTTCATGGAGCACTCCCGCCTCACCCAGGACTTCGACGACTCGTCGCTAGAGTTCCAGCGCAAGATTCTCGAGCGGTCCGGCCTCGGCGAGGAGACTTATGTCCCGGAGGCGATGCATTACATCCCTCCCCGGCCTTCGATGGCCGCCGCCAGGGATGAGGCGGAGCAGGTGATGTATGGTGCGTTGGACAATCTATTCGCCAATACCCATGTGAAGCCGAAGGACATTGGGATTCTCGTTGTGAATTGCAGCTTGTTTAATCCGACGCCGTCGCTTTCCGCCATGATTGTTAATAAGTACAAATTGAGGGGTAATATTAGGAGTTTCAATTTGGGGGGAATGGGTTGCAGTGCTGGGGTCATAGCTGTTGATCTTGCAAAGGACTTGTTGCAAATCCATAGGAACACTTATGCGGTTGTCGTTAGCACCGAGAACATTACTCAGAATTGGTATTTTGGGAATAAGAAGTCTATGTTGATACCCAATTGCTTGTTTCGGGTTGGTGGTTCCGCGGTTTTGCTTTCCAACAAGTCCGTGGATAGGAGACGGGCTAAGTACAAGCTTGTTCATGTCGTGAGGACACATCGTGGCGCGGATGATAAAGCTTTTCGTTGTGTTTATCAGGAGCAGGATGAAAAGGGGAAGACTGGTGTGTCCTTGTCCAAAGATTTGATGGCAATTGCCGGTGGGGCGCTTAAGACCAACATTACCACTTTGGGACCTATTGTGCTTCCGATAAGCGAGCAGCTTCTTTTCTTTTCTTCAATTGTGGTTAACAAGCTGTTCAAGTCGAATGTCAAGCCTTATATCCCGGATTTCAAGCTGGCGTTTGATCATTTTTGCATACATGCCGGGGGAAGGGCTGTGATTGATGAGCTGGAGAAGAACCTGCAGTTGCTGCCTATACATGTGGAGGCTTCTCGGATGACTCTACACCGATTTGGGAATACTTCGTCGAGCTCCATTTGGTATGAACTGGCGTATATGGAGGCCAAGGGGAGGATGCGCAAGGGCAACCGTGTGTGGCAGATTGCCTTTGGAAGTGGTTTTAAATGTAACAGTGCGGTCTGGGAGGCGCTTCGGAATGTGAAGCCATCTCGTAATGGTCCTTGGGAAGACTGCATTGACAAGTATCCTGTGAAAGTAGTTTCCTAGCTCAAGAACATTATCCTGGTTAGACTCTCTCCATTCAGGTTTCTCTGTCATTACTAGCCTAACCAGTCCATCTTGCATTTTTCACTTCCTGACGTTGTACTTTATTTGGTTTTTGTTGTATTAGATACTTGATGTCAAACTGTGGTCTTTTGGTGCTCGATCATCGCATACGTTTCAGTCATTTGTCCAGGGAAGTTACAATTTGTAGCGTTGCTGATTTTTGGTATTGTGAATGCTTCCCATTTGCCATGTTGGATGGATCTCTAATTGTATGTCAACATATAGAGTTTAGTTTTTCGATTTCAGTTGATTCAACTTGTATCAGAATCTCTGGCTTCAATAGTCTCAATAAAATAAATTCATTCTGATGAACGTTTTGTGCATGGTAGAGTTCTGATTGTGTTGCCGCGCTATACAAAACTCTGCTGATCTTCATCTCTTCGCTTCTGGGCTCACCCTGTGGATTGAAGAAACCTCAGCGATAACACACACACAACACATGAACATAACCTCAGCGATGAAACTACTAAATTTTCATCAACGAAAATTCAAACTTTTTTATATCCTTTACAGCACATGCTTTGAATGAATTTCAAACCTTTTTTTTTTTTTTTTATAACTTTTCCAAAATTGAGATAAGGAGACACGGATGCACAGGCTGGAAGGTGAGTGCAGAGGTGGCGCGTGCCCTGTCTGTAGATTCATCTATCTATGGATACAAACATACATATTTTAGAGTGGTACTTCAATTATTTTGGGACATAATAACCGCACATCTCCCACACACTTTTGTTTAATGATGTTTGTTAATTTATTTGAATTATTTTGGGCCCCATTATTAATGACATCCGCTTGTTTTTGCTGGAACGTGCCCATGTGAAGCTCAATCACGTTCGAAAGGAGGCCAATTCCGCTGCCCATCGACTTGCTCGATCGGGGATTGGCAGGATTGATGAATTTCAATGGAGGGGGACTGCTCCTAAGCTATTGGCGGATACTCTTATGGAAGACAACTCTTTATGATTTTGCTTGTTTTATCTCTTGGTGTGAGGATAGGTAAAGTTAGTTGTTCGTGAGGGACGTTCTTTTTTCCTTCGACCGGATTGAAAGTCCCGGTAAAGTTTTTATTGAGACTCATTTAAGCACACTATTCTCTTCTTTGTACATTTGATTTTATATCAATAAATATCGTACTTTTCTATAAAATAAAAAATAATAATTCAGTGACTAGAAATAGAGGCATGTGATGTGAGAGGTGAAAAATAGTGTGTGAGATTCATCTCCCTTATTTTATCAAGGTCTATCATCCTCCCAAACATGCCTTTGCAACGGTATTTCAAATTACTATAACATTTTCATATATAGAAGCTGAAACGCATGACAATGACGTTATTGGTGTGCATTACCATCACCGTGGCATATTCGGCGCAGGTAAGCCCTTGTCATTTCTGCTTATATGTCGTTTATAGTTTAATCAACATTAATACACCTTTATGTCGTTGTTTAATTCTCGTCTTCAATTAGTAATTAAATGGAGTTCTCTTTGGACAAAGAGAAGAAGGGATGTTTAAATTGTTCTTCGCTCCCAATTCCGATTCAAATTGGGAAATTTACGCAAACTTTACAGAACAAAACCGACAGAAGGACTACACGAACTAAAAACAAGTTAAGAGGGGCTAAAATATAACTCGTAGATAAGTACAGGGACTTGCTCCAAATTACTCACTAGTTATCCCAACACACAAACTAACAGTAACAGTGGACCCGTGGGCCTAGGCCAATTTACAAAGTTAGATGGTCCATGCCTACCAAAGCCTCCCTCTGAGAATCGAGGGACGCGAGCAGAGGGCAGTCAGCACATGCCCCCGTCTACAGATTCTCATTCCTAGAGTAAAGCCGCAGTGGCGGTAACCCTGGCCAATAATCGAGGTGGCGGTGTTCCAAACCAATAAGTTGTGCCCGCCAAAACCTACTAATGTTCAGTTTACGACGGGAATTTCAATGATAAATAAACCCTTTTACCCATCTTAGTGAATTTAAAATCTTTACATGGTATGAACATAAAACTGGTAAGGTTTTATGACTGAAGAAAGCTGCTGGCATGGAAACCGATCGAGTTCTTACATACATAAAGGACCATATGAGGGCCATAGAAATTTAATAAAACTGTAAGACAGTTGTGAGTTTATAACTACCTATTGAAAGATACAAACAAGCAATGAATGTGGCAAGAGAACACCAAGTGCAGTGCTGGCTGAAGAAATTCACGAAAAATGCGCGTTTGCACAGTTCCTGTAGGATAATCTCAAAATGGGACTGCAGAACTGGTATCTTCGAACAGGAGAGAGCAAGTAGTATGAAAGAACGGTAAAGAAAACCTTATCTAAAGGACCATTGAATCTCTTCCAAAGTTCTTCCCTTTGTCTCCGGAACCCAAATGGAAACAAATACAACGGCGAAAGCACTCACCAGCATGTAAATGGTGAAGGTTCCTGTTGAAAGTGGAACCAAAGGCATTAGCCCGAAAAATGTAACAGATCAACAAAACTACTCAACAGTACAACGAACGGTAAAAAGGCAAGTGCACAGGTCTCCACATTTCTTTGGGATGCAACCACAGCTTTTTTTATACATGTTACCAGCTGTAGTGAGGGAGACGGAGAATAAGAGAGAGAGAGAGAGAGAGAGAGAGAGAGAGATAAGAGGAGGCATACCTCCACTGCTCCATTCCAGTAGCAAGTTTGCTGTCATCGTGACCACCCAGGCTGTGAACCAATTGGCAAGTGTTGCTATGCTTCCAGCAAGGCCTTTAATATTAATTGGAAGAATCTGAATTGCCAAATTCACAATTTGTTAGATGTTTCAAAAACAATATTGAGCAACAAGTAATAAGAACAAAACTTCGTGCTCGATGCAAGTCATGAAACACTACACCTGACGTGACTCTATTATTGGCATACCTCAGACATTATAAGCCATGGAATAGCTCCCATACCCAGAGAGAATGAAATTACCATGGCCTGCAAGAATAGCACGCAACAATGGAAATTACGTATAGGAAAAACGAAGAAGCACTATCCTTTGACTCGTGATATTAAAAAATGTACATACCACAACTCCAACCACTGATATGATGCCCAATATGCTATAAATATTTGAATCAACGTCCACAAGATCCTGTGATCAGGTGGAATTCCTTTTGAGAATATACACAAAAGAATAACATAGCCATAGGATATTTGTACAAACATGAGAGGTTTAATACCTTTATGTAGAATGATATCGCAACAATGAGGAGGAAAATCGTCATTCCAGCAGAAGAGATCTACAATGAAAAGTATAAATTTTCTCCATCTACTCCAAACAGATAATATACAAACGGCTCAATATTGACAAAAGAAAAAAAGAAGTCAAACTCACAATAAGCAAAAGACGACGGCCTGCTTTGTCTGCCAACCATGTAGTCACCCCAGTCGCTATGACCTAAATGCATCAAGATTCTTGTTATGTTTGCAAATTGAGAATATTGAGTGCGAGAAGAAACAAATTCTGAAGTTGTCTTATTGCTTTTACCTGAACAGCTCCGAGACCAACTGTGGCTACATTACCTGACGAAATCCCTGTTCAAACACTAAAACTAATAAGAGCCATTGCACATTAAATAAATCTGACTTCAGTCAGTTTTCCACTACGACATACATGTAATACAGGTATCTATGAGTGTACTATATACACAATAATAAGGCGGTACATGTACACACTTCATGTTGGGTCAAAGGAAACAAGTAGCAAATGATATCAAAGTATTCATATGGTTCCGTAGAGCATCCCAACTATATTCTTTCATATGAGTGGGGAAACTTACCTGCAGATTCAAAAATGGTAGTGGAATAGAATAGAACACCGTTAATTCCACTTAGTTGTTGAAGAACAAGTAAACCAATTCCAATCTGCAAGGGAACAGTTTGTGAAAACAGTTACTTTTTGACATATAGATCACATTTTGGATTAGAGGATACCAAACTAGAGAATCAACTCTTTTGGACTATAACTAATACCATTAGAGGAAGCCAATATCTTCTTTGTTTAAGCTGTGAAAACCGAATTGTTGTTCTTTTGGATGTTGATGCTACAGACCTCTGCCCATTACATATCAGAGAAATTATTTACATAGGTGTATTTCCAAGAGTGATGTGGTCATAGCATAGTTCAAATGACATTATCAGGAAATTATGGCTTTGTACCTTGATTTCATTGACTTCAACCGAAATATCCGTATCAAATCCTCGGAGAACTTGCAGAGAAGCTTCAAAATCCTCTGTCATGCCCATTTTTGCCTGTTGAGGTCAAAACAAAAAAAAGACAACTGTGATATCATATTTAGCATTGTAACTGTGATCAAGAGGTTTCTGTGAACTTACCAGCCATCGAGGAGATTCTGGAATGAAAAAGAGCCCAGGTATCAATATCGTACAAGGCAATATTCCTGAAATTTTACCCGGGTATTAATCTTCTGTTAGTAGTGTACACTTGAATAATTAATTTCCTTCCTTAAAGGAGGATAAGAAGTTGAAATTTCACTGAATGTAATTAAAGTTATTAAAGTTAATAGCATGACTTGTCTTTGCTTATGGCTATAGAGAAGTTGTTATAGAAAACCAAATACCACTCCACGGATGCCAAAAGTTAATTGGCTTGGGAATGTAAGTGAGGCATTGGAGCCAAGTTTAAAGTGTTTGCTGAAATATCGTATAAGATGTCCTTTGTGTACTCAAATTTCTAATTACCATTAGTAAGCAAATGAGTTCGTAATTCTTTCAAGTAAATCAAATTTAAGAAAATCCTACATCCATGACAGGTAAGAACAAGTGATGTGAACACAGTGACTTTTTAAGAAGATTACCCAGAACTGCAAGTATCCTCCATTGAACAAAAAGTCCAAGCAGATAAGCCAGCAGTATTCCAATCGTTACAGAGAGCTACAGAAGAAGGATTTTAAATAATCTGATTAGAGACAGATGTTAGTAACCACTAACAGCAACTCATGGTAAAAATACGCTACTAAACAAGGCCAACCTGATTGACTGAACCCAAAGCGCCTCTTAAGTTTTGAGGTGCTATCTCAGCTATATATACAGGCACCTAGTATGATCAAACCAAATCAGTACTCTCACAGTTCCAGACTACACATTTTCGACAACAGAAACGCTTGAGACAACTCGAATTTACCGTGTAGGAGATTATTCCCACGCCAAATCCTTCCAACAACCTTCCCATGTAGAGAAAAGAAGAATCCTGCAAAAAGAATGATATCAGACAGCATGTTCCCGGCTGCATTTTTCATAAGTTATGAAAACTCACTCTGGCAAATG